CCCCCCCCCCCCCCCCCCCCGATGCAAAGCCATCACCGTCAAACAGTCAACAGTCCAACAGCTTAGGGAAAGAGGCCTATGTCAAAAGTTATGCAGTTCCATCCTAGTCCAATATCCACGTGTTCGATCTTCAAAGCTTCTCAATAACCTAAAAAAGAACTTGCCAAAAAAAATGCATATTAACGAATGCGATATGATTGTAATATGAAGTTATATTACAGGCAAACGGAGTTTGATCTACAGCGACACCACAAGCAAAATAGTTTGATTAAAATCCCGGCTCTACGGGAATGAAGTGGTGCATGGCATGACTTCAGACGCCATGTAAATTATCTTATTTTTAGAAAGAAAAAAATTGATTGAATATTCATTGTTTTTATTTGTGCAATATTTATTATATCATATTAGCGTTGTAGAGTGCTTTTGGATTCCAATAAAATATATCAGCTTTTTAAAGTAGATCTCTTTAAATGATTTACAATTCCCTGTTCAGGGCCACCATAGCAACTTTAGGCATGTACTCTTTTTTTTCTCTTAAGGTTGAAAAAATTTGGAACGCTTCACGAATGTGCGTGTCATCCTTGCGCCAGGGGCCATGCTAATCTTCTCTGTATCGTTTCAATTTTAGTATATGTCCCACCGTAGTGAGGACATCATGTAGCACTCTTCTCCGTGTATATGTAGTGGTGAAATACAAGATGGCGGCAGAGGTGAGGGATTCTATCAAAACATAATTTTTCTAATTATTTTGCTAATTTAACTAGTGTCGCCTTAAAACAAAACATGCTCACTTTTTCTTAAAATGTTTTGGCAGATTTTATAAATATTTCACTAATACATTTCACTAATAACTACAACAGAATTATCTTTATTACTTTTAAGGTTAAAACCGTAGCCGCTTATGCTTGGTATAAAGGTCCATTCCCAATGAAACTTTCGTTCTACGTCGACCGATCCAATTCAGCGGGAACTCTTGCTGAATGCAATCAGATCAACAAATTAACACACCATGTTTACAACGTACTCGCACAATCAGCAGCTTCTGTCTTCTACTTTGGAAAGGAGCCCTAATTAGACTTTTACTCTTATTTTTGGAAGACGAGATACTGCGTTGGGATAATATAAAGATATTATAATATTCACAGCATTCTGTAAACTCATATGCAGACCCAGGAGTTTTATGAGAAATAAAATTATGTTGGTTGCTGTTTACTGTTTTAAAAACCGTCAGCAAGAGTTCTTAAGCATTTATTTAAATCAAAGTTAATAATATTTATTTATTCTAGCTACATGTTAGAGCCATCAAACTAGTTTAATGGGTCTCTAATAGTAGCTATTTTCTGCATCATGTTTATGTTTAATTCAGGACATTAGTACATCGACTGGTGTTTATCCGTGGTTTTCGTGTGCAACATGAATAAAATATACACTTCAACGAGTCACATCAACAAAATATTCATGTCTTCAAGGAATACCTGGCAATTGTCTGGTGTAAACTATTAAAATGTTGTTATCACAGTTGCGGTCACCTACAGTATCTGGCATTTTGTCCAGAAACACTCAAAAGTAAAACTAAACGATTGGTCTGCACACGGAAATACCCCGGTAGATCCTAATGACTGCAAAGTCAAGTAGGTACATTGTATAAATACCTGTTTGGGCGTCCGTCCCTCTCAATCGGGGTACATGTAGCTCCGCTTCTTTCTTCTGCACGTGGACCAAGTTTCTTCCGTCGCTGAATATGAAGTTGGCCGCTCTGGTGCTGTTGGTTACTGTTGGAATCGCCTACAATGGTCTGGGCTCCGTGGCTCTCACACCAGATCAGATCATCAAAACTTTGATGGGTAGTGCTCCTCCCTACTGGAAAGTTTGTTTTGCTTTGGACAGCAGTAGCAGCATCGACGTCACTGAATGGCGGTACTCCAAATTAGCGGCAAGGGTGAGATACACATACACTCGTTTTGATCATAAACGCGGTACTGAGAGCGTCAGATTTTATAAAGGGAAGAGCTTCCATTTTGCTTGAAACTTGCACATTTTCTCTCCAATTATTTTGATTCAACGCCAGCTTTTAATTTCAAATTATGAAAACGGATTTATATAAGATATTCACTATCAAGAAAATAATCAAGAAAATAATTCAGAAAGACAGCTGTCAGTGTTAAGACAAGTTAGGTGTTCGTTTTATTTTAAATTTGCGCATGTCTCTTATGTTTAAAATTGTCTCGGTTATCTATCTTATGGTTATTTAATTTTTTTTCTACATNAGAAAATAACTGGTTGCGAAATGCACTACAACAATCTTTCTTCTACAGCGGTAAAAATTAATAAAAATGCGACTCTATAAGCACGTACCAATAGAAATGCAGTTTCCCATGAAGCTCTAGCGAAACTACTACGTGATTGTGTTAATTTGTTTATATATACGGAGATAGCGTTGTGCAAAACATGACTTCAATCGCAATTAACATGTAGATAATCTTTTATTACATTTAAAATTGGCCTTATAAATTCGTGCAATAATTATTGTATTATTTTACTAGTTTAATACCTGCTCTCCTTCTGGACGACAAGGAAATTAAAAAAAAAAATCTGACGATATCTTTAAAAGATTTCCTGGTTTATAAAATTATACTAGTAGCTAAGTGTAGGATACACATATCGCTTTCTGTTGACTTTAAGTGGAAAAATATGGAACGCTCTACGAATTCGCGTGTCATCCTTGCGCCAGTGGCCGTGCTACATGTAATCTTCTCTGTATCGTACCAATTTTAGTATACCTCCCACCCTAGCGAGACCTGGTGTAGGTCTGGTACGAACCGTTCAATCTTTGTATTGCGTTTTGCTCTAAGTAAGTTGAAAACGTAATGTCCTATTTCGAGACCAAGCGTGACTGAATTTGTAGAAATGTAGGACATCATTTGATTTGTATAAAAAAAGCGTTAAGAAAACTCGTATTTCTTAGAAAAAAATTAATGTAATCGTATTTTACTTATTTTCTTATACATTTATACAAAACATACATATAAAGTTTTAATGTATTCGGCTACCACGGGCAATACATTCTAATCGTCGTCACGAGCGCACGATGTAACATAACAAGTCAACACGATGGTGCTTGGCTAAATAATGTTGTCTAATGTTTCTAAAATGTGCTTTAAGAAGTTATGTCTTTGACATTATGAATGCAATTAAAATTTCTCAGCGTAGAAAATATAGGGATAAAAGCAAAGAAAACTTTCTTGTAAAGGTATGTGCCTGCACTCTGTTTTTTAAGTAGAATTCCATTTATCTTTAATGCTTTGGTGTTTAATGTTTTCTTTACATTCCGAAAAGAACTTTGCCCTATTTTGAAAGCTGGTAAGATGGTCGACACATCGCCGAATACCACTGCACTAAATACTGCAGAACAAGACGGGTATCCCAATGAAGGATTTGAGAACGATACAACAGACGGTGACTCGCATGATGACAACTCTGATAGTGATGTAAAAGAACGTAGTTCTAAACGGTTTGAGGAATTAAGCGAGAGAGGTGCAGGAAAAGGGAATGGCTATTCAGGTAATTTATTCAACTACTTTGGTGCAGTTTGAGAACGTGACGCTCCCTCGCTCACTTGTTTTTTAAGGAGCGCCTTCAGTACAGCGTTAAAACGCAATGGGTTCCATACTGAGTGTCTGAGCAAACATTTCCAGGTCCCGGTTTCAAACAAACACACACACACACACACACACAAAAAGGTTCCTTTGCTAAGAACTTAATTACCAAAGTTACATGGTCACATGGTCACATCTCACCCTATCAGAGGCAGTGATAGAGCACTCATGATAATCCTAGTCACCTAAGCCAGGGAATTAACTTAAGTTTTTTTTTTTTTTGATGAAACTGGGACTAGCATTAAACCCCAAGAATTTACGTGGTCTTGAAAAGGAAAATATGTAGTATTAATTTAAGGACTCTCAGTGCTCGCATGGTAGTATCTATCTCCACTTAAGCGTGTTTTAAATGGGATTTCAGTTTAACTTTCCTCCTTTGAGGCTTGGTGAAAAATGCTCTGTTTTTTGCAGATAAACAAAGTATGTCAGGGTCGTCTGCATGGAGATTTATAGATTCAAGACAACCATCGACGGAAGAAAACTGCGGAGTTCAGACCGACCGCTGCATCGATTGGCTGGTGGTCTTGGCGTCCTTCTTTATTCACTTTATTGTGGGCGGGATTTTATATACTTTCGGTGTGCTTTACATCACCCTGCTAAATGAATTTAAAGAAACCAAGTCAGAAACGTCTTGGGTTGGCTCCATTCAAGTAGCTATGACCTGGGGCATGGGTAAGGTATATTTAACGCAAACCATTCGAATTTACACATTTGCTCACAAAATCACGCATTGTCGATGTTTTGTGTTGATATTAATAAATACGTGGTAGAAGTGCTGGTCGGTCTCTAATTTTAGAGTTAATACAAACCACAAAAATTAAATTTGACGATCAAATCAAAAGCGATATTTGGGTGATTTTTGCCAGCCTAAATCGCATTTCAACGATTTAAATAAATTTCAGACAAATTTCAAATATGTATTCAAGGTCCAGTAGCTAGCGCCCTTTCTGACAAAATTGGACACCGGGCTGTTGGAGTCGTTGGTTCTATTCTGGCTGCGACGGGGTTTGGCGTGAGTTCATTAGTACCGAATTTGTCGTTCCTGTACCTAACATACGGGGTAATAACTGGCCTCGGATTTGCACTGATGTGGTTTCCAGGCATTGTCTCCGTTCAGGGTCATTTTGAGAAGAGGAAAAGTTTAGCCATGGGAGTTGCAGTGTGCGGATCAGGCGTTGGGACATTTGCTATGGCACCTTGTATAGAATTTCTGATTAAAACCATTTCTTGGAGATACACTTGTCTTGTACTGGCAGGGGTGTCTCTTTCAGGAGTTGGCATCAGTATTTTGCTTTTTCCATCGGAATTAAAAATCAATGAGGGAAGTAAGTCAGAGCCAACCTTATCATGCTCTAACAAAACGAGAAAGTGTTTCAAAAACATGTTCCACATCTCCCTGTTACGAAGAGCTGATGTTGTGGTGTGGCTAGTGTGTCATTTAATAATCCAAGTAGGGCTCGTTGTGCCTCACACGTATATACCAGATATAGCTGTAGGTATGGGGATAGAAGTAAATAACGCGGCGTTCTTGGTCTCCATCGTAGGCATTACTAGCACGGTGAGTCGAGTCGTGATGGGTGTAATGGCAGACTTGCGGTGTGTTAACAGGCGATATATGCTTGGGACCAATGTTATGATTGCAGGGGTCATGGTTGCCATACTGCCGTTTATGAAGGAGTACGGCGTGATTGCAACAGTGTGCACGTTTTACGGGTTATCATTTGGTGAGTGGATTTATGATGATATTTTTTATTCATTCTTACGTATCTTGTGTAAAAGCATGGTTATAGACAACTAACAAAAGTATAGAAGTTGTATTTTTCACTCAAATCACTACTACATGCAAGTACATGTATACATGGACACACGAGGTCTTTCTTATTGCATTTGAATTTCTATTTAACTAGGGCGACGTTGCGTTTGTATATTCCTGTACATTAAAAATGTAACAGCAAAAATAAAACCAGGAAATCCATCTATAATATTCTGCTTTCATTTGCATAAGTCAATGGTGTCTAACATACCGGATACATATTCTTTCTCTCTCTCTATCTCTCAGTCATATTTTAACAGAGAATCATTTCTTCCCAGCACAATTTTTTCTTGAAAAAATGTATCAACACAAACCTCCTATGAACGTTTAAATGATCACACCACACAAGTAAAAGAAAATCTGCTCTTCCTACAGGCACCATTATCTCCCTGACCGCTGTTGTTCTGAGAGATCTAGTAGGCATCGAGGAACTTGGACCTTCATTTGGACTTACCATGTTAGCCAAAGGTTTGGGTTCCCTCTTATTATCTGCTGGAGGTATGTAGCGAAATGGGATAGAGAAGATTGGCTCATTCTTTTTTCTCTGCAAGGCATATGTTCATAGTAGAACTGACTAAAGACGTAACAGACTAAAGACGTACTCTTTGTTCCGTTTGTGGCCTATCCTGAAAATGTTATCAAAATCCGTTCATGACATTTTTTGCGTGAGGCTGAGTACAGGCAAACAAACAAACTACAGTAACAGAACCAAAAACATAACTTCCTTGTCGGGGGTAGAAATAATAATAATAATAATAATAATAATAATAATAATAATAATAATAATAATAAAAATAAAAACAGTTATTATGTATGCTGAAAATATATCTAATTTTATTTTCTACTTCATACCTGATTTTGTCACGCCGGGCATTTAAATGCATTTTTTTAGAAGAAATTAATTTAGAAGAAAGTGATTAATGACATTTTTATTTCAGGCAGTTTGTATGATTTATTCGGCTCCTATGATGTCACCTTTCATATCACCGGCTCTCTATTATTCGTTGCTGGTGGAATTCTTTTGTTGTTGCCATGGATACGTGAGCTCCAGGGGCGATGTTGTTACCATGGCAGCGCAAATATCACCACAGAAACTGGGCCTTGAATATATGGCAAATGCAAGCGCACGAGGATTGCTTTGTTGAAACTCCAGAACACAGTTTTGAAATTGTTCACTTTATGATTAATTTGCCTAAACCAAATTTTTTAATTTTGTGCCTCCTTTATTTAGCCTTTGATATTTTTAATCGTATCTGTAAATTGAATGATATTAGGTTTTGGCTTTTACCTCATTATAGAAATATTTTAATTCTGCTCCCTTTGGGTTTTCGCCTTTTAAGTAAAGCGTTGGACAGCATGAGATGCTTAGATTAGGATTTATTTCAGCAAGTTTATCTGTTTAAATACAATATCCTCTTCACTGAAAAGTTTTATTTTTTATTTTATTTATTTATTTATTTATTTGTTGCGCCGGTCATTATTTATAGTTGATTGATGTTTTTGCAATGTTTTAGTTAAAATCTTCAATTCAGTTAAATCCATAATCAGCTAGACGCTGTGGCGGCAGAGCACAGTTATTTGTTTTACAGGAAATACGGCAAAACTCGATTCTCTTAGAAAGTAATTTGTAAAACCTTCATTACTTGGCATTGTGAAAAAATATACTTAAGGTCGAGGACAAAATGTGTAATTAAAATAAACGTGCATCTCGTAATATCCCTTAAGCGCATTCTAATGTTTGTTATTATTAAAAAAACTTGCAAATATCATCTAATAAGGTTGATATTTTAAAAACTTCCGTTCATGAAACAGTTGACACCTTCGTTACTACATTCGAAAGTTTCCCCATGTACTTGCCAGACATGCACTTTTCCATGATTTACATAAAAAGTTAGATTTATCACTTTTTGTCAACTAAACTTTAGAAAAAGAGTTATTACTTCTTGTCACCAGAGATTGAGAAAAAGAAGAATTCGCGAATATACCTTTAACATCAGTTGTCACTTTTTCACAACGCACTTTGGTGGACAGTAGGGTCCTCTTGTCTGAGAAAACTATCCATGGAATCTTCAGATTTTTGCATAAAAGTAAGTTGAAAACTTAATGTCATATTTCTAGCCCAAGTTTAATGTAGGCTTAACTAAATTAGGAGAAGTTTAGGACATTGATACTTTATATGTAAAATTTCTTAACAAATAGTGAGTACTTACACTTTGGGGTTTCCTTTCATATGAAATTGAGGTCAATCGGTGCATTTGAAAAGGAGTAGCAGCCACGAAATGCTGACATCAAAATCTCTCTATATGCCAAATATTGTAGCCCTTTTC